TTCAAATCTGCCAGCTGCTTCTTGAGAAAAAAAAGTGGGCAATCTCCTATGTGACTCACAGCCTCTGAAAACCCACTGAAGGATCAGCTATGAGTCATTTCTAACTTGACAGCAATAAGATTTTTTTTTATTATGGTATATGATGGAAATTAATCACATGCATTTTTGTGAGATGATACTCAAATATCCTTTATCAATGTTGGAGGCAATAACTAGAAAAATTTGTTGAGTTTTCCTTTCTCTTTGGACTTTAGGTATTGGGATTTTTGTCTTCTTATGGAATAGGAATGGAATATAACCAAGCAAAGGTAAGGCCATTGTATTTGTCAGGAGCAAAAATGCTGTTTTTAAAGGACATTAAGTAAAAAGATCCATTCCAAGTGAAGAGACTCATGCTTATTTTAAGATGGATGCTAAAAGGACAAGTTCTTGAGCAGAGAAAATTCAGGGTCTAAATAACTTTTTTTTAGGGTCCTGATGATAACTTTTATAATGTCCCATATTCCAGATTTTTTAATCAAAGGTGTATAATATCTACTTTATAGGGCTAGTGTAAGGATTAGGGGAAATGGCATCTACAATATCATCATCAGAAACTCCACAGATTGATATCAAAATAAAAGCCCCCCAAAACCCAGATGCACCACCTACTACTGTCAAGTAGATTCTGACTCACTTGTGGTGACTCATTGTGTAATGAGTTGAACTACTAAACAAAACATTGGCGGTTTGAATCCACCAGCCACAGTGCAGGAGAGAGATGAGCCGTCTTCTCCCGCCAAGATTTACAGCCACAGAATCTGAAGGAGAGGTGTCATAAATTGAATTCCTCTAGATAGCAGTGGGTTTGTTCTGAGTTTAGTAAATCTTCCCTGGAGGAAGTGGCTTCATCCTTCTCTTGTGGAGTAGAGGGGCTGATACAGAAATGATAGCCATATTTATAGAGGAAAAGAGTGAAATTTGGAACTTATTTTGGGATTACCAGGCTAGGAATAAAGTGTATAAGGTTTGACATATATATTTTTAAACTTATTATATACTGTTTTGCTTTAGGCACTGATATATTACACTTTTGGAAGTGCTGGAGGAAGCATGATGTCACAAATGATTCTGGTTTGTAAACTGCATATTCATGGACCTAAATTAGTGTATTGCGAATGGACGACTATCATAATAATTAAGAACGTGTGTGCCTGTATTTTAGGGGTACAGACATCTCGCCGGAATCAACGTTCTACAGAATTGCGAAGTTGCCCTACATCATTACAAGAAAGTGGCAGATTATAGTGAGTAGTCCATATGATTTCTTTTAAAGACTTGCTGACAATAAAAAAAATGCTGATTTAAAGACATTAAGATATTTTTAAAGCTATGCTTTTAACATCAACCATCATGCAATTCTTTTAATACAAATAGTTCTTAATATCTTAACACTTACCTTTAATACAAATAGTACCTGATATTTGGACACTTAGTACAGGTCTCCATTCAATTCTCTTTTACTGATGGTGTTTTACTGAAAACTGTAATACAATGCCAATAAATGCTAAGCAGTTTTCCTAATATTAATATTTAGAATAAGAATTATTTTTTTAAAAATTCATAAAGAAATAAATATAAGGCAAACATTGGAGATCTCTGTCATTGCACTTGAGAACAATTCACCCTCTATCCTTTGTCAGAATATGAGGCTAATGTAAGTTCATAGAATCATTTTCAAAGTTGTTTATAACATTCCATCTGCAATGTCACTGATAATAGTAGAATGTTAACTCAAGAAGTATAAAAGTCAAGTCCATTTGGTTCAATTCTGTCATCAGAATGATATCTTTGACACTTTTAGAATCTGAGAAAAGAAGGGGGGGCGGAAACTACTTTTGAATTGAAAATGCTATGCATAACAAGATACTTTGGTATGATTAATGAAACAAGAATCCGTACAGACATAGTTCAGACAACGCACTTTGACAGTTGTGTTTGAGCCTGCTTCTCTTCGTGTTTTGAAGCTACTTATAGAAAATAAGTCAGTGATAAAGTGGTCCATTTTTTAGCTCTAATCTCGGGAATGGTCAGTAACAGAGAGTTTCCTTCTGCCTGCTGAGCCGATGTAAATTGGTAAACATTTGAATAGGTTGCAAAGAATAAGTTTCGGCTCTTTTCTCATTGAACCATACACATTCTGACTTATGTGTCTCGTAGAAGCACGTGTATTCTTACTATTCTCTGCCTTGTTTCTATTCACAGTTGCTGACAAACTGGAAAAAACTGAAGGTATCCCAGTAGAAAAAGTGAGACTCACCGAACGGCCTGAAAACCTGAGTTCCAACAGTGAGATTTTGGAATGGGATGTATATCAGTACTATAAATTTCTGGCAGAAAGAGGAGATGTTCAGATACAAGTAATATATACTGAAGATCCTGTTGTTTTAGAACTTGAAAATTATAAGAGGCTTGGTTTTCTGAGTCCTTGAGGGATTCCTAATGTCCCAGTCTGGGTGGGAAAGGGAGAGATAGCCTTCCTCAAAAAGGTGTTGTTTTTATGTGCTGTCAACTCTGCTACAGCTCGTAGCAATGGTATGGACAATGACTGCACCTTGCCCCATCCTGAGCTAACCCCACCATCTCTGGCACACCTGACTCCGTTGCCATAGTCACTGTGTCAATCCATCTCACCCAGAGTCTTCCTCTCCTGTGCCAACCCTCTCCTCTCCCAAGCATGATGTCCTTCTCCAAGGACTGGCCCTTCCTGACAACACACTCAAGGCCTGAGCCTTCCTGTTTTGTCGTCTGCCACTTGCAGTACTTGGGACCTGTGGAAGTGCCAGTTGCCTTTCACAATGGCTTTTTTAAAAAAAATCAAATTTAATCACTTCCTAAAAAAATTTTATCTTTTACAAAAATCTGGGTTTTAATTGCAGAAAAAAGCACTACCCAATTCTGATTTTTAGAATGAACTTCACACGGATGTGGCAACAATCTGCTTTTTAGGTCTCTGTTAATGTGATCTTTAAGACTCCTCACACATACACATCCTACCACCAAAGAAGTCACATTCCCTTGCACAACCAAATAACCACCAAAAGATGTAGTCTTTATCCCAGTTTCTTTTAAGATGTGCCAACTGTATCAAATTGATTCAACCTACTATAGTAAAACCAAACAGGAAATATGTTTTCCTTTATTCATTTAAATCCATACAATTGCTAAAATAATTTTTAAAATATTGTTGTTCCTAGGTATCCCTTGGACAGTTACATCTAATTGGAAGGAAAGGTCTAGATCAAGATTACTACGTAAGTCAACCTCTGGACTGATGGCAGGAACATCAAGATCTGATTTAGATTAGATTACTTCCCAGATTTATTATTATTATTTATCACTTTTGAGAAAGAGCAAAAATAACCAGTTGTTGTTGTTGTTGTTATGTGCCATCGAGTCGCTTGCGACTCATAGCGACCCTATGTACAAGAGCTCTAAATGCTGTTCTATCCTGTGCCAACCTAGCCATCTCAAACGCACTTATTCCCACCGCTCCAGTCACAGAATCGATCCGTCTCACCAAGGTCTTCCTCTCCTTCGCCTCCCCTCCACTCTGCCAAAGGGAACATTTTCCCCCCCTACCAGCTTCTATTCTAGGTTGAAAGGAATAGGGACTTTGGACAGAGCAGTTTGGCCAGTTATTTGACTCGAACCTGACCTCTTCCTGCCCAAATATCTGTTAAGCTGACATGAAGTGAAGGGAACAACCCCACATATTGGCCTTGGACACTCTCCCTCCCCAAAGAACAACAGCAGGATGTCCACCTGGGAGCCTGAGTAGGGACTCAGACCCAGCTGCATCATTGTTTGCCTAGTGATATTATTTGCAAGGTTATTGGGTACCTTCATGAACTTGCAGATCTCTTCCAATCATTTTACTTAATCTTACCTTATCCTAGTGAAATTGTTATTATCGTTCTGTGCCAACTAGTCACTTGCAACTCATACTGACCCTATGTACACGAGCCCTAAACCCTGCTCTATCCTGTGCCAACCTCATTGTCTCTGACACCCCTGCTGCCACTACTGCAGTCGCTGAATAGATTCCTCTCCTGCACTGTCCCTTCACTCTCCCAAACATGATGTCCCTCTCCAAAGACTGGGGCCTCCTTGCAACATGTCCAAAGTATGTCAGACAAAGCTTCGGAATCCTTGCCTCCAAGGAGCAGCCCAGCTTCACCTTCTTTGTGTCACTCGCATGACTAGGAGTAGGTTATGTATTATTTTGGGACAATGGGCATGTGACACCTGTAAAACGGCAAGGGTGACAAATTCAACTTTTATAAAGAATCTCAGTTACTTCTCCAGGTTTGTGATGATATTAGGACCTTGAAACCATAAATGTCATCTAGATAAGACCTCATGCTGTGACCCTGGCATCTTAGGAGGATCTTTTATAGGCTAAGCTTATTTGCTTTTCCTCTTTTATAAATCTGAATTGAAGATTCATCATCAATCTGCGTTATACAGATGACACTGCTCTGCTTGCTGAAACAGAGGAGGACCTGAAGCACTTGCTGCAGAAGGTCAAGGACTACAGTCTTCAATGTGGATTGAAGCTCAAAATCAGGAATACAAAGATTCTCACCACTGGGCCAATTGGCAGCATCAGTATGGGTGATGAAGAGATTGAGATAGTTAACAGTTTTAGTTTGCTTGGCTCCACAGTCAACACTCTTGGTACCAGCAGCCAGGGAATCAAGAGATGAGCTGCACTGGAAAAGCCAGCTGTGAGGGACCTCTCCAGAGTATGGAAGAGCAATGACATCAGGCTGAAGACTAAGGTGTGCCTGATCTGGGCTGTAGTCTTCGCAATTGCATGGTATTCATTGGAGAGTCGAACAGTGAATAGGGATGATAGAAAGAGAATTGATGTCTTTGAGTTGTGGTGCTGGAGAAGAGTTGAATATACCATGGACTGCTAGGAGAACAAACAGGTTTGTCCTGGAGAGGGTGAAGCTGGAATGCTCCTTGGAGTCAAGGATTCTGAAGCTTCATCTGCCATACTTTGGGCATATTGCAAGGAGGGACTGGTCCTTGGAGAGGGACATCATGTTTGGGAGAGTAGAGGGCCGGTGCAGGAGAGGAAGATCCTTGATGAGATGGATCGATTCTGTGAGTGGAGTGGTGTGAATGAGTATGTTTGAGACGGTGAGTTTGGCACAGGATAGAACGGCATTTAGAGCTCTTATACATAGGGTCACTATGAGTCACAAGTGACTCAATGGCACATAACAACAACAAACTCCTAGTCACAAATGTTAAGCAAAATAACTGCTTCAAAATATTTTACCTGAATATTTATTATTACTTTTGCATTTCACTCTGCATTTGCTTTTACTAATTTTTCATTGATGTGCTAGTTTTCATTTATATGAGGTACAGTGAATATTAGGTATATGCTAAACAAAGTTACATTCATAAAATCTGATTTAAAAGGCAGCAATTTAAATAAGCAGGAGTGGCATCCACTTCCTAAACAACATGCCTCTGGAAACTCTATGTACTTTGATAAATGTTAATAATTGTAGAGGGCCTTCATGCCTTTTGTTCAGAACGTTGCTATGAGTCGTGCTCAATTCAAATGCAATCAGCAACATCCTAAGATTAAAGCTCAATATCAAGAGAACAAAGATTCTCACCACTGGGCCAATTGGCAACATCAGGACGGATGGTGAAGAGATTGAGATTGTTCACAGCTTTAGTTTGCTTGCCTCTGCAATCAACACTCTCGGCACCAGCAGCCAGGAAATTAAAAGATGTATTGCACTGGGCAAGTCTTCTGTCAGAAACCTCTCCAAAGTACTCAAGAGCAACGATGTCACTCTGGAGACTAAGGTGAGCCTGAGTACAGTCCATGGTCTTTGCAATCACTTGCTATACATCAGAGAGCTGGATAATGACAAGGGATGATAGAAGAATTGATGCCTTTGAGCTGTGGTGTTGGAGAAGAGTATTGAATATACCATGGACTGCTAAGAGAACAAACAGGTTTGTCCTGTGAGAGGGTGAGACCAGGCTGCTCCTTGTCTGACATACTTTGGACATGTTTCAAGGAAGGACAAGTCCTTGGAAAGGGACATCATGCTTGGGAAGGTGGAGGGACAGCACAAGAGAGAAGACCCACTATGAGGTGGATTGATTCAGTGATTGGGGTAATGGGGGTAGATGTGTTGGAGACAGTGAGATTGGCACAGGGTAGAGCAGGTTTAGGCTGTTGTACATAGGATCACTAAGTCTCAGGCAACTCGATGGCACCTACCAACAACAATCCTGAGATATCTCAAATTATTAGCTTCAAGGTTGTTTTATTATTTGAATTTATTATTATTATTTTAATATAGTAGATATGTAATTGTTTTTATTTTCATTTTTATTCTAATCATAACCAGAATTTTAACTTGTAAAGTGAGAAGTTCTGAATCCATATTATCATTCTATTGCTAGATTTCAGCCTGTCACCAGATATTTGTATTAACCGTAAAATACATAACTGGAAAGAATTCCTCATTTTCCACCAACATTGAATTTTTCAGGGAAGAAACATATTAAAATGTCAGCTATAATGGGCACACTAATGTTGGCTTAATGCAATAAAATGAACTTTTTTAGTCAGCTCCAGTCATATCCCTAACAACTGTCAAAAGAAATTTCATTCTCTTTGTACTGACAATGAATAAGGAGCTATTAACCAAAAGGTCAGTGGACTCCACAACCATTCTATGGGAGAAAGTTAGGCATTCTCCACCCTTAAAGATGTGTAGCCTTGTAAGTTCAATGCAGGGTCCCTAAAAGTCCCAATCAACTTGACAGCTTTGTTCTCTTCCTCTTAATGAATACAGATGCAAAGTATAGTGGCCAGTTTTGCAACTGACCACAGCCTAGTTGCTCTAAAGCCAACTTAGAGTGCCAGGCAGTATGAAAACGAGAGTGGGAAACCTGATTCCTTTCTTGTTTTTCTTCTTTTTTTAAATAACTTCCCCCTTGCAATCATCTTACTAGTAACTACATTCACGAAAGCCTGTAAGACAGCTACTTCATGCCTCTTGGCTTACTATCTGCATTTTAGAGAACCAATTTCTGGTTGGCAAACCAGTACCTATCTAAACCAGTACTCTATCAAACCAGTCTCCTGAGCAAACAAGGACATCTTCTCTGCTGAAGGATCTTCTGCTCAGTTTGGAAAACTTTAGCTTCTGCATCCCCAAGTAAAGTCCAGAGCAAGCCATCAGGTTGTAGCAGTCAACACAAGGTCACAGCACAAGGTCATCTCTTCATCTAAAACCTGATTTCTGAAAGGCTGTTAGCTTTTTATTTTGGCTGGCTTCTCATCCTTCAAGTCATCTTCCCTTGATCAACTCCTTCCATTACACAGCCTATAGCACTGTGTTTGTTTTCCTCATAGCATCTATCACTCTCTGAATTATACGGACTTTTTTTAACCTGTTTACTGTCCATCTTCCACAACAGAATGTGAGTTCTTGTTTCTCTTGGTCAATACTGTGTATACTGTGTTCAGACCAGCGCCTGAGATATATATTAGGTGCTCAGTAAAGATCTATTAAGTGAATGAATGATTGAATGAATGATGGCATCCTGCATGCTTCTCAGCCTGAGAAGTACCACTTGAGCCAGGATGCTAATACTTCATATAGAAAAAGGCCATCACAAGTCTAAAGTTCTTTTCAAATATAAGTGATGCCCCAGTTTTCTGCCCTACAAATTAAATATTGAAATATCTGGAAACAACATGCTTGCATTTTTTTCCTTTCCTCACTGTTTGGTTGAATTAATCTCACTCAAATTGTCACCACAGTCAATATTTTCACTCCCTCCCATTGCCAAATTCTAAATTATTGAAAAGTATTTTAAATGCAGTTCTTAATTACATTATCTTGGATTTTCTACACACATTTAGTATGTTTTGCATTTCTAAATATATACAGACTTAGAGTTAATTGGATAAGGAAGGAAGGGTGTTCAGGTACATATTATTAGAGTAGAAAAGGCAAAATTAAATCAAACCTGGAAGAGAAATATTATCAGCAGTTTTAAGGGCAGCTGTGCTCATTCCACTCTGCAGTCCATGAGGAGAAAAGAGCTGCTGTCATTCTTCCTCGTTCATCCCTCTGCAGAGCCTAGGACGAATAAAATGCTCATAGAAGTATTTTGAACAATATATTTTCTTGGGTTTTTATTCTAGAGAAAATGTGATAAAAGAATTAAGCTAGATTTTTTAAGAACTGATAGAAAG